GCAAAAACAATATGTTTTCCTTCGGTAAACATAAATATTCGAAAAACACATGAAAATAGCTACAGTCTAGTAGGTCTCAGTTACATGTACATACTAGTACCTTCAGATGCAGATATCGGGTCAACGCTTTGAAGTACGTCCTGACGTCATCTGTGTTGTTGCCTTCCTGAACCAAGATGGCGAACTCCAGGTCGGAGTACGGAGTCATCTCTTGTCTCGCCAGCGACCCCAGCCCTACCACAGCATACTTCACATCCCCGGGGGGTCCTCCAATAACGCTCACACACTCCTCTAACAGATCTCTCACCAACGTTTTCATGTCCTCTGCTATCTTACAGTAAAGATCTCTCACTGCTGTTCCCTGGGCCAATTCTTGGCGCTTTCTTTCCTCATCACTTTGGTCAAAGCTAGTCGAATATTTCTTCGCAATAGTGTCAAGTTCTGTTTCACACTCAGATCTGATTTCCATGAGTTTCTTTTTGTGTTCTTCTATATTATCAGACTGGAAGGCTTTGGAAATCTGAAGACCTGTGACGCCGTTCACAAAAATGATTTCTATCTCCCGGAGCAAACTTTTGATGTAGTCTTTGCTACAATCAGCTTGCAATGTGTCAGGCGATGAACTAGTATCTTGCTGCTGCAGTTCCAGATTTAGTCCACCAGGGGGCACTCCTGCACTAGTATGTTCAATTATGTTGTCTTGTGATGATGTTCCAGCATCGTGTTTGGGTGCATGGTGGTTTGAAGTGTCGTCTATTCGGGTGAGGGCAGCATTGAGAAGTGCAGATGCCTTTATAAGATCACTGTGATCTTTTGGACAAGACAGCTCTCCCCGCTTTTTGTACACCTGTGCAGAAACAAAACAGTTGTTTACTTACATTTCACTTCGAAATGACACAACAAGTTAACTGTAGATTTCTATGATACCCTGTCCTTGGTGCTGAACTGGGATTCCATTTATCCAACTAGCCAATGAGAGCCCTAGAGTGCTGTGATTGACAGTTCTATCAGACAGCCTTGTACTGCAATAGGATTTAAGTGTTACAACAATCACTGCTACACTATCAGTATTACATTTTCAGATACATTAAAATTATAAAGAAGATACAGTTGAATTTGTAGTTATATATGAGAATCAAATAGTTTGAATGATTTTCTATTGCACTAAAGTCTAACTAACCACAAAAATATAACGTTACATTAAATCAGATGCAACATTGTAAGAATCTCACTAACATATTTCTAGTAGTGAAACATTTTAATTCATTGCCTGGTTAAAACACTCATAATGCACTGAGACAAAGCTAGCTCCTCATATCTGCATGAAGATAAGAAATTAACAGATTGCCAGTAGTTATCAAGGTATAGGCAGTGATACTACCAGGGCTGGAAATACTGGGTGCATGTGTACCTTAGTGCACCCAAATCTGGAGCTGTGCACCCAATTTTTCTGTGGGTGCACCAGTGCAGCTAAATATTTTCATAGGTTTACTTATGTGAAGATGAATATGCACAACAATACTACTATACATTTAAAAATGCATAGTAGTATTGTGCATATTCATAATATCTACGGGTCAGAATGAGATATAATTAGTTTCTTACATTTTATTTTATATGGTGCATCCCCCCCCCAAAATTGTATCTTTAGGTTGGGTGCACCAAATCAAATCAAATGGTTTATTTGTGATTACAAACAAGAAGTCATAGGCTAAATTGTGTCTTGCTGTACCAGTGCACCTGTTCCCAAAAATGAATATCAAGCCCTGAGAATATATAAGAACTATTAACTGACCTCCCCTAATCTCAGTAGACAGACAGCTTCCCTGTCCCTGTTGTCCACAGTGACCAGCCTGAGTGCTCCAGCAAAGCTCTTCTCTGCTGAATAATGGTCGCCATTTTCTAGCTGTATCCTCCCTTTCTGCAGACATTCTAAAAATGATAAAGAAGACAGGGTGAGTGGATATATCTTCGTATGGAAACAAGTTTGCCAATGAAACAAAAATCAGTATTCCTTCGTTTGATAAGAATGAGTGTTTCTCATTCTTTTGCCAATGTAAAAAAAAAACACAGTATTATTTTGTTTGATAAGAATGAGAAACAAGTTTGCCAACGTAAAAAACTATTGTTTTGTTGATAATGTAAGAATGAGAAAGTTTTTGACTTCATCCCCCTACACACAGAAATGATCCTCCCCTGACATATCATTAACGCCCTCCCCATACACTCAGTACAATGGAACTTCCCCGGAAACGTGTTTCATATTGAATGAGAAAGTCAATTACTTCACCTCCCTACACACAGAAACGATCCTCCCCTGACATATCATTAACGCCCTCCCCTTACACTCAGTACAATGAAACTTCCCCGGAAACATCAACTTGAAGTTAGTAGTCAGTAAACATTTCGTGCATAAAACATTGTACCGTGTACACTGTACAGACATTGTGTGAACATAATTTTTCTGTGCCGTAACAATTTCATACGCAAGTTCTGGGTGTAAGGCTAACTTGGATCGAACTCAAATCTATTAAAAGGTCAAAGGTCTGAAACACCGGTGCCGCACCCTGTTTTCTTTTCAGGACCGTCCCATGACCAAAGTTTGTTGTCAAAATATCACCCCACGTTTAAACCCACCATTTATAAAAAGAGTTTTAGATGGTTGTAGAGATGTATTCTGTTCTCCAGAATTTTTTTTAAAATCCACGGTTGTCCTTAAGGGCCCTTAAGGTTAACCTTAAGAGCAAAAGTGAAAGAACGTGACGTAATACAACTATGATATTTTACCGACTATATCTTCTTTTATCGCATTCTTGAACGAATACTTTGAGGAATGTTGGTCCACAAACCTTCAAAATCTGCTGTAGAGAAGTCTTCAGGACGTGGAAGACACGGGGTTGTCCCGTTGTCTGTTTGGAACAGCTCTTTGGCAGCCATCTTGGACTCTTAATAGGGACGCACCACGAGTTACATGGGGGATGGTCGCTACAAGCATGTGAAAATCTTACATAATATCGCTTTAAGTGCAAATATATTTTCATGAAAGGCGACTATGAGATATATAGGAGAGCTAAAATGGCTTATGGAAGGACTTTCAGTTTCGGGGGACATGACAGTGCGTAATAAAGGCCAATACGTTCGTAGCAGCAATATTTCCTTTCCGCGTTTTCCGCGTTAACTGGACTATCCTATGTACGTGGTGGGAGGACTCGGTCAAAGAATAAATAAGCAATCAAAAACACATTTATCCAAAGTTTAATGATGGTAGGTACAAAGCTGGATATGTTGAAACATTACTCTTCTTTACATTTTCATTTTTTTTCGTTTGATTTTGGCATTGTACATGTACGACATCGGTATCTCTTTCCAATATTCTTTAAAAATTTAGGGTATATATATTTGCCCCTTTTGCAACTGTTTTGTACGATTTACAGTATGGTTTAAAACAGTAAGAAAACAGTAAGAAACGCTAGCTTGTATACAACAGAATTTTACACATTTTTTGTCAATAATTACAATACTTGTCTCAGCCTCGCTCCACTAGTAACAGCCTGTTCTTTGCCCAGTTGGGTGTCGACAACTTCGACGCCAGGAGGCGAAAGCTGACGCACTCTTTTGCGGCTCGCCTCCTGGCGTCCGGTAACGGCATCATCAGTTTGCTCTTACGCTCTGATGCCTTCCCCAGAAGTCAGTTCTGGCGTAGGTACTGCCAGTGTTGGTATAAATCAGACCTTAAATAGGCTCAGTTTCTTTTATCCTAGACATTGTATTTTTAGATCTATGTATATTGTGTTGTCTATGTTGTCTATGGGTTCTGCCTGAATCAAACAACAAATAAAGAAAGAAATACCTTTCACTTGAAGAAACGTGTTTCCTACATGTAAATGCTAATTTGACAACAATTTGAAAGCCTCTATATACTATACGGCCTCCATGCAATAGAAACAGCGGCACCCATTAGTTTAAATCCTGTCGTTTGCAGATGCTTTGTTCATAAATTTTAAGTACTGAGGCATAATATGCTTATATGGCACTGAAAAATAATTATTCACAGACTTTATATTACAGAGCCTTATTGCTTTCGACGGATTGACTCATTTTCTCCACTCAATTTTTGCTTGATTCGTCGCTATCACTGACGTACACAACATTACCCATATCCACATTGAGGTAGAGTATGTTCTTGCAGCTTGGGATTTTCCATATCTAACGACCATCGATGGACAAATATCCCAGTCTTCTGTCCTTCTACGTTCTCTCAAAGTTAAATACATTCCCATCCCTCAATATGTTTACAGAAGGAAAACATATTGTTTTTGCTCAGTTTCTTCTTCTTTGCTCAGTTTCTTCCTCTTCTTTACTCAGTTTCTTCCTCAAACCAATAAGGTCAATGACCTGAACCAGACGTCTGTCACCATGGTGTTTGGTTAGATCATGTTGCAATTTTATAGCAGGAGGGAATTAGACTCCTGTCACCATATTCAGGCAATGCATTCAATGGTGGAAACATATTTGTCATTTGCACCTTGTATCCTTAGCTTGTCCATTTCTGTTTGGCGTTTTGCTTTGACAAAGTCTTTGAGAAAGAACACTGATATCTTTCTGACGTTCCCATCTTGTAAACATCTCCGAAAAATCTCCATATCAATATTCAAATTTAGTCTGCCTTGTCTTGATCATGACTTGTCTAACTTTTGTTTCTTTTTGCTTTTCTGACAACTCTCCAGTGTCACTGACGAAAGGTATAGTGGATTCTACATGAAACGTCTGACCGTTTCCAAAATCATGGCCAGTTTCTTGAGTAACTTTTTTTGGCGTATCTTGATTATCTGGATGTCCAATCTTCACTGTCGTTTCGTCTGCCTTGAATTCAAATCACAGTCAAGATGTTGCACATCCTGCATTGGTACCTAAGTACAATGCACAACGCATATGTCCTTTTCAAGAATATTGCATTAGATCTGATTTGAAGAGTTGTTCGGGAGTGATCTGATTATCTTTCACGTGACGCTATTGGCTGCTGCTCTCTCCGGGTGGGCGTGGTTACAGTTAGAAGTGACACACTGCGGCAGGCGGAGCACACTGCAGCCAACCCCCGTACAGGGCTCTGGCAAGTCTGCAACCTTCTCCCACCTGCAACACAAGACGTTAGGTAAGCATTTTGTACTGTTAGAGAGATAAGTTATGTTTACTGAAGGAAAACATATTGTGTTTGCTCAGTTTCTTCTTCTCCAAAACGATAAGGTTAATGACCTAAACCAGACGTCTGTCACCATGGTAACTAGTGTTGGGTTACATCATGTTGCAATTTTATAGCAGGAGGGATTTAGACTCCTGTCTGACCATATATATGAATGTGTTTGAGTAAGAATTAACAGAGCAGACCATATGCGAAGGTAAACATTATGCATTTGCTTTGCAAATGTTACCTTAACTAGTTCTTGAGTTAAATTTAGTAGCGATAAAAATATATGTTGTACTGCATGGCTGCCTAGCTGCGAAAAGTAGCTTTCGAAATCTATCCAGTTGCTTGACTAAAAGTTTTCTTGTGTATCTATCTCATTATCATCGAAGTAGCTTTAGTCATTTTAGTAGCATACAGACTACTAACACATTAGCCAGTCCTCAACCAATCAGATCAGAGGAAACTTATCAGCCAATCACGTTGCCGGCTACGGTCAGGAGGCAACGTGATTGGCTGGTATGAAAGGATGCTGCTTACCTGTCCTCCTCCGGTAGGTAACACTCCACAGACTTAGAGAACTCGTTCCTATCCCAGCTGTACCCGCCTATGATGAAGATTTTGCCCTGGTACACCGCTATTCCTGCTTCACTCTTAGTACACAGCATCGGGGATGTTCTAGGGAAAGAGAAAAATACTTCCCTCTATCATTGTGTGATTGCAAAACTGCACTTTTTAGAATATCAAAGTTCTTTATTATTCACAACTACTTTATTGCAGAGCCGACATTTCAATAACCGTCTGTCATCTTCATCAGGCAATTATCATCAAAACGTACATTCAATCATTCTCCAACCTAATGAAAAAGAGCATGTTTATACCGGGGTGGGAGTGAAATATATTGCATTTGCTTGCGATTTGCTGAATTTTCATGAGCGACAAAACCTAGAACATCCATTGCTTCAACTATTTATGTTTACCAAAGGAAAACGTATTGTTTTTGCTCTGTTTCTTCTACTTCTCCAAACAAATAAGGTCAATAACCTGAAACAGACGTCTATCACCATGGTAACTAGTGTTGGGATACATTATGTTGCAATTTTATAGCAGGAGGGATTTAGACTCCTGTCTGGCAATATATATGAATGTGTTTGAGTAAGAATTAACAGAGCAGACCATGTGCGAAGGTCAACATCATGCACTTGCTTTGCAAATGTTACCTTTTTAGTTACTAGTATTTGAATGTCAAACTTACTTTGCCCACTGTTGAGTACTTGGATCGTAACACTCGTCCTGTAGAACACCCCGGATGCCACTTCCGTTTTCGCACGTCCCGCCAAAGACGTATATCCGGTCGTGTGATGACGTCATGCAGTGCCATCCCCTGGCCGTAGTCATGGCGGTCATATTCTCCCAACGGTCAGCCTCGAGGTTATATCTGCGAAAGATTTAAATGATATTATGTAAGATTTTCACTATTTTAAACAACGTTGTTTTACACATTTTCTTGCGCTATAAGCCTACCTGGGTTCATAATGACATTTAGGGAGCAAAAGATCAACGTCGTTGCGCCGCAAAAACGTGTTGGAAGCTGCAGAAGATAGCCAAACGAAAACCGCTGTTTGTTTACATTCTTTTTAGGAGCCTCCTAAAAATACAGCGGGCCTGGCGCAAATTTTTCTCGCCGGAAATGCGAAATAGCGATGCTAATATGTTGAAAGTTATCGAAAATGACAATCTATATGAGGAAATTATAATTATTTACATTTACAGTTTTGGCGCAAAAATCTTACGTAATATCGCTTTAAGATGAAGAGAAGCAATGCTGGTTAAACGTACCTCAAAGATTCGTAAAAAAAAATCATAAAGAAAACGTTTATTCAAAAAAATCTAAAACATACATGTAATGATGAGATATTTCAAATACGTTCGGTGTTATACTACAGCCAAAGGCTACATAGGGCACACAGTTGATTCTGATTTTCAACCCTATCCCGGCAAAACATACGCCGGATTCAAGCCCTAAAATCAACGGGACGTACACTACGAGCCCGGGCTAGCTTGCATGGGCGTTCCTGTGCCGCCCCAAGGCACGAGGCATTTTTCTGCGGCGACCGCCTAGCTTGCACTGGCTGTGCGCCGGCTGGCAATGTCCTTGGTGCTGAAACGGGGGTCCCTATTTTACACACTCTTAGCGCGCGCTGCCCCGGAAGCCAGAACTCGTTTTCCCGGCCGCAAGAGCCCTTCGCCCGCTGGTGTAAATTACCGCTACGGGGGAGTCTAGCCCGGGGGGAGTTTGGCTGGCTCTACAAAGTTGCAGGGCCGAAACCTCCCCACGGGCTCAGTTCCACCGCAGCGGTAATTTAGGTCTGCGGGCGAAGGGCTTCTGGTTGCCGAAGGAAACAGCTAGCGGCCCGTAAACTTGGCTGGCACCCAGGGTAAGCGTGCGCTGCCCCTCCCCGCGTTATTGTACAGTGCCTCTTTTTCCCTCCCCAAATGGGTGAGAAGTTAGGTCTTCGCGAACGATATCAATCATTTTAATCGGGCTCTACATGTGTTGGGTTTGATTCGCACTATTAATATATATGTACAAGATGTAACGTTAGATACCTTTGAAAGGTGTTCTGGAAACTCCCATTGTACCCCCCGGACACGTACAGGTAGCCTCTGTCCACACAGACGGCGTGGCTGACCACAGGCTCGTCCAGAGACGCCACGTATGTCCACTCGTCATTATGGGGACTGTATATGTGAATGAATGAAAGACATTTATTGTACATTTATGTCCTTACTAGCTACTACAGTTAATGGTACAAGTTTGGTATCTTGTTATACATGTACCTATAGTGCAACAATGTCTACAGGTTCAAATTTCTTCTCATTTCCTAAGGCCAAAGCAAGTTATTTTTAAGGATGACATCAGCGCGCGCATTAATTTTCGTCTGATTTTGGAAAAAAAAAGAAATTTTTGTTGCCTTCTGACAGTGGTCAACATGCCGAAAATGGGCAAAGATGCCGAAAGGTGGATGGCAGATAACTATGAAGAGAGAAGACTAGAAAAGGTTCTGATTTAATGTTTTGTTTCTTACTTTGGTGCAGTGATATGTGATATGTTGGCTGTGTATATGTGATGTATCTACTGAATCAAAACCATTTGTACAAGGATTGAGTGAAAATTTTAGAATGTAGGAACCTCGTTTTTTTCGCCTCGCCTTGTTTTTTTTTCGCCCGCTCGCATTAAATTTGGAGTCCGCGGAGGATGTCATCCATAAAATTTACTTGCTGTGGCCTTAGTCTTTATTTCATAGCCTACTTGTATCGTTCGACTGTGGCCAGCTTGTCGGCGTCGTTCCTTCCCGCCACCGCGAAGAGTTGGTTCCCGATGGCGGCGAGGTGGAAGTCCGTCCTGCTCTCCAACATGGACGCCGTCTGGAACCACGAGTCCTGCTGAGGATCGTAACGGTGCACTTCGTTCGTGGCCGTTAGGCGGCCAAGGTGACTTGTACACGACCCACCTGTAGACACATGTGAAGAAGATTTGCCATTTAGGCCCTGTTCATACGGAAACCGTACCTGAACCGCGATTCGGGTAAATCGCATTCCTCACATCTGGTCACACGTTCCTTTCAAACCGTGCCCGAGCACAATTTGCCTAAACTACATTCATCTGGATTGAAAGCGCTTACAGCGTATTCGTGTGCACGATGCCTTAGTCGTATTGTAACAGTGGGGTTCAAGCGCCACCAACTGATCCATTCCAAAGGGCCCGGACCTTTTGGAATACTAGTAGTCGTTAGAGCGCTGGTGTCATAAGCTGGCTGCTCGGGTTCGACGCGGGTTCGATTCCTGTTTCACGGTTCTCACATCGGCCCTGTGAGATTCGAGGACGAATCTAAAAAGAAACTTTCCCATTGTTTCACACAGCAGATTAAATACCATTCTGTTTTACACTCGAGTCAGTGGGAGCCGCCATGTTGATATGTAACGTCATTGTTCGGCCATCTTGAAAGCTATCAGCTTACCCATCTCGTTTCCATTACATCCAGCAGGTCTTACACTTCACAAAAGCTATTCTTTACGCACACCTTAAAATATGCGTAAATGTAAATGTACCGTTTCTTCACTTGTGTGTAACTTTACGCAAGCTTTGATATGTGCTTAAACATTTAAACGCGCAACTTAAAATATGCGTAAATGTACCGTTTCTTCACTTGTGTGTAACTTTACGCAAGCTTTGATATGTGCTTAAACATTTAAACGCGCAACTTAAAATATGCGTAAATGTACCGTTTCTTCACTTGTGTGTAACTTTACGCAAGCTTTGATGTGTGCTTAAACATTTAAACGCACAACTTAAAATATGCGTAAATGTACCGTTTCTTCACTTGTCAATAACTTTACGCAAGCTTTGGTGTGTGCTTAAACATTTCGTGCTGGTGTCACCTGCTACGTAGAGGAAGTTGCCCAACACGGCCACGCCCTTGTGACTGCGGGGTCTCTCCATGGCGGTGACTTCCCGCCAGGACGACCCGCCGGTGTCCAGGAACTTCACGCTGCGGATGAGGGTCTCGCTGGCCCGGGAGGACGGCTCGCCGCCCACGATCACCAGGTGACTGGACGTGGAACGGACCTGGGTACGGGCTGACTGCATCACCGGCTGTCTGAAATGTACAAAAAAATCTGATGTTGTCATGAGGCTGTGTGAGCTTGTCTGTACATTCCTATGCCGCCCCCAGGTCAATGGCAGTGCGCCGGAGGGCGATGTCCTTGGTGCTGAAATGGAGGGTCCCTATATATCTCACTAACACTCTACGCACACTGGCGTATGGCCAGCCCCCGCGTTAATGATCAGATCATTGACTGCGACGTTTTCTGCCAACAGAAATGTTTCTTTTCTTCTTTATTTCTTTCTACCTTGCGCTTTTTCTTCCTCGTTCTTTGCCCTGTCCCCTCTTTCCTTCTTTCCCCTACGTACATTTTCCCTCCTTTTCTTCTTTATCGTTCTTTCCCTTCTTTCATTCTTCCTCCTACGCATATTTTCCATTATTTTCTTTCCTCCTTTATTATCATATTTCCCTATCTCTCTCCGCCTATTTCTGTTTCTACTCTTTGTCGCCCTTTGATTTGGCTTTGTGTCTGTCTCTCCCTTTCTCCTCTCTCTTCTCTCTCTCTCTCTCCCTCCCTCTCTATCTCTCTCTCTTTCCCCCTTTCTCTCTTCTCTTCTCTCTCTCTCCTCTCTCTCTCTCCTCTCTCTCTCTCTCTCTCCTCTCTCTCCTCCTCTCTCTCTCTCTCTCTCTCTCTCTCTCTCTCTCTCTCTCAGCCCCTCTTGAACTCAGATCTCCATGGCACTTGCAACATGATGTAACCCAACACCAATTACCATAGTGAGAGACGTCTGGTTCAGGTCATTGACCTTATTTGTTTGGAGAAGAAGAGGAAGAAACTGAGGAAAAACAATGACAATGACAAAAACAATTCAATCAAATCACCTGTGCGGTAGAACGTGGTACTTGAATGTCTCCTGCAGAATCCGCATACAGCTGACGTCAGTCTGCATGAAGTCCACGGTCTGTACCCGGTCCACCAGCTCTGCCGGCGACATGAGCGGGAACCGCACACGTGACATCAGCTCGCTCATGTGCTGCTGCCGGGACGTGTCGTACTCCAACCACTTCACTACGGCTTCAAAAACCTGCACAACAACAACAAAAAATAATTTTGTAACTCTCTGGTCTTCTTCATGAATACTATGATATCTGAGACTACCCATTAGTGAGGACATCCGGTCCAATCCAACTGTAAACAGCCTATTTAGCATCTCCTGCTAATTGCTGGCATTCTGCAGCATGGAGGGTTTAATGCTTTTCTATGCTTGTTTTTGATGCTGGGTATAGCTCTAGAAGTGATTCTATTGTGTTGTGTTTGGTGGTGTTCAGTGGGCCATAGGTCATTGTGGCAATCCTATGACTAACTTGAGCCGATTCAAAAGTAAGAATTTTTAGCTAAATGGACAATTTGGATGCCAAACTAAACTGTCAATGTGAGTTGTCAATAGTTGAACACTCAAGTAGGTGATTGTTGACAGCTCAGTTCTTAGATGTTTACCATATATTCCAATGGCGGCTGGAAATGGTGGTCTGTGCCCTAAACGACCAACCTCTATCTCGAACTGGCATGTGCAGAGGTCGTCGCTCTCAGGTTGTCTTTAATCCACCAACATGACGGACGCTAATTATTACTCACGTGGCCTTAAAGGACCAACCTCTATCTCCACTTTTCTTTAATCCACCAACATGGCTGACGCTAATTACTACTCACGTGACCTTAAAGGACCAACCTCTATCTCCACTTTTCTTTAATCCACCAACATGGTGGACGCTAATTACTACTCACGTGACCTTAAAGGACCAACCTCTATCTCTGAGCACGTGCAGAGGTCGTCGCTCTCCAGGCCAGTTTCTTTAACCCACCAACATGGCGGACGCTAAATTTTGCATGTACTCATTTGCATATTCGTGATCTCCCGAATGAGACCGCGACCAGGACCAACCTCTATCTCTGAGCATGTGCAGAGGTCGTCGCTCTCCAGCTTTCTTTAATCCACCAACATGGCGGACGATAAATTTTGCATGTACTCATTTACATATTCGTGATCTCCCAAATGAGACCGCGACCAGGACCAACCTCTATCTCTGAGCATGTGCAGAGGTCGTCGCTCTCCAGTTGTCTTTAAACCACCAACACGGCGGACGCTAATAACAACGTCATAGTCACGTGATAGTCACGTGATGTTATACGACCAACATCTATCTCGAAGCATGTGCAGAGGTCGTCGCTCTCCAGGCCAGTTTCTTTAATCCACCAACATGGCTGACGCTAATTACTACTCACGTGGCCTTAAAGGACCAACCTCTATCTCCACTTTTCTTTAATCCACCAACATGGTGGACGCTAATCACTACTCACGTGACCTTAAAGGACCAACCTCTATCTCTGAGCATCTGCAGAGGTCGTCGCTCTCCAGTTTTCTTTAATCCACCAACATGGCGGACGCTAAATTTTGCATGCACTCATTTGCATATTCGTGATCTCCCAAATGAGACCGCGACCAGGACCAACCTCTATCTCTGAGCAGGTGCCGACGGCGTCGCTAGCTCTCCAGTTTTCTTTAATCCACCAACATGGCGGACGCTAATGACTACGTCATAGTCACGTGATAGTCACGTGATGTTAAACGACCAACCTCTATCTCTGAGCAGGTGCAGAGGTCGTCGCTCTCCAGCAGGGTGGCCAGCTCGTCGATGCTGAGTCGCTGGAAGTCGTCCTGGTCCGCCAGCACGGAGAACCGCCGCAGCATGAACCTGTCCACCACGCTGCGCAGGTCCAGCAGGCTGAAGGTCTGAGCGATCTTCCCGATGTCCACGCAGTTGTCCACGTCCACGATGGAGATCAAGTACTCGTGACAGAACTGGACCACCTTTGGGAGGTTTAAAAGAAAATGTTACGTTTTCATGAAATAATAAAGACTCGAATTTCTCTGCCAACACTAGAATGAATTGGGACTTACCCCAAATTTTCGGCTGACTCCGTCAACCTTGCTCACGGAATGGACCCGTCTACTCTTGGAACGTGACGTCAGAGACACGTGACCGTAGTAGCGGGTCATCCGTGCCAGATAACTTGTGTCGCCCCCCGTCTCTGTTCAGGGTAGGTTTGTGAGCTCTAAAGTCATCATCGGTCTTTATGTGACCCTTTCACATATCTGACATATCTGACATGTGTCAACCGAAAATGGGTTGGTCAAGAGATGCTGGGTAGTCTATATCGTCCGCCGTCCCGGCATCTGCGTGCTTATTACCTCTAGCTCTATCCGTTTTTCATTGACGGGACTATTGGATATTGAGGTGAATACCATTTTATAACGTATTCATATTCACATTGACATCATTTTCATGTCCCGTTAATTCTTTAATCTGTTTAAGGAAAAAACAGGACCTTACCGCAGATATTTGCAGGTGGTTGGCGGTTGTCAGAACGTCCTGCACCGTTTCTGAGTTCAGCGTGATCTGCGACGTGTACATGTACTGTACAACATTCTCCAGTCCGCTGTATGGCACCGCTTTAATCTCAACACTGTCCTGGTTACACTCTCTCATCCCACGAGTGAACATGGCACGAAAATAATCACTACAAGAAGCGAGGATGTTCTTGTGGGCGGGAATTTCTTTCCCGTCGACGATCAGCGTGATGTCGCAGAGGAGGGCCTCGGTGCGGAGCGTGTTCAGGTACCGAAGAACCTCGCTGCTGTGCCTCGATGAAGAGAAGGTGCGGTCAACGGGAATGGGGGAGGGGAGGGTTGACTCCGTACTCCGGGTAGCCATCGTAGTAGGTGTTCCAGTCGTGGTTTTCGGCAACAATTTCACAATTGTCGCATCGCTGGATTCATTGTCGTAACGCAGTCTTGCTCCATCGCCATATTTTACCTGTTGCTTTCAGTCAAAACAATGGCAACTTGCGTCTGAAAGGTGTACAAAAATAAGGGTATTGAAAATGAATGTAGAAAAGATTTTAGAGGAAGCAATGTTTGCGGAACTACTGATAAAGGAAGTCCACGTGACACAAGCCAGGTTCATAGAACAAGGTCACAGTCTTGTTTACAATAGTCAAGAGGGAAACTTGTTTTGTTGTTTTAAACTGAACAATAACGTTTTATTTGCTCTCGATTAATGTAAGAGGTGTTCACATATTTTGTTTTTCATTCGTGTCACGCTATAGCGTAAAAATACATGCAACACCTGTAAAGACACAGTGCACAGTGAACCAGAAACAGCTAGCTTCAGTACACAGTGAACCAATGAAATATTGAAAAGCATAAGGCCGAAACGAAAAGCAATCAATATTGAGCGAATCGAAGCCACTATATGGGGGCGTTGGAGGGTGGTTTTTACAATGAAAAAGAAAGCTAAATGGTCAATTTTATTCCACAGTTACCCCACTGATACCCTCTAAACTATTACTCTCCAAGCAAGGGTTTTGGTTTTGGGTTATTTTTGGTGTGTTTTGGGGGCTTTCTTTATCGGGGTTTCCTTTTTGCACTGGATATTTAAAAAAAAAAGCCTAAAACACGCTAAAAATAAGCCAAAACCCAAACCTCTGCTTGGAGACTACTAGTTTAGGGGGTATACAGTGTCGAATAGATTGAAGTCCACAAAATGGAAAAATTGCATTTTTTTAAAGATAATACGGCAAATAAAAGGGGGTTCAAATTCTTAGTCTATATGGTTAGTTCCTAGCTTCCCTTGTTTTAAACGGACTAGCTATACATTTTGTATATAGTGAAGTAAAGTGTGTTACTGTATGTCAGTACCCCCGTTACACTGTGGTAGTTGTTAGATATGTAGATAATCGTTGCCTCTGGCGGCGGACACAGACATGCACTATGATCATTGGTTAATAGCAATCACACAAAGGGAGCGTCCATAAATCACATATCATACGCAACACGGAATCTGTTCGCACAATATGAACATTGATTAGCAATCACACGAAAGGAACGTCCATAAATCAAATAACAAACGCAACACGGAATCTGTTCGCACAATATGAACATTGATTAGCAATCACACGAAAGGAACGTCCATAAATCAAATAACAAACGCAACACGGAATCTGTTCGCACAATATGATCATTGAATTGCAATCACACGAAAGGAACGTCCATAAATCAAATAACAAACGCAACACGGAATCTGTTCGCACAATATGATCATTGATTAGCAATCACACGAAAGGAACGTCCATAAATCAAATAACAAACGCAACACGGAATATGTTCATTGATTAGCAATCACACGAAAGGAACGTCCATAAATCACATATCATACGCAACACGGAATATGTTCGCAACATCTACATCTACATCTACCATATGGCGTTTATGACGAATATTATTAATGCATATATGACGAATATTATTAATGCATATATGACAGTGCCATTGTACATACATAAATTCTATTATTCTAACATACATTTTGACAACAATAAAATGAGTTTATACTCGATCATTTTTCTTTGACCAATTTTTAATTAGTATGTATGTATTTTCTCATTGCGTTTTACTCTCGTTTTATGTTTTTTTAGTAGAAGCTCGTTTTATGTTTTTTTTTTAGTAGAAGGCGTCATATAAGTAACTGTGCTTCTTGCCTAATACTCAATGAATATATGTGAATAAATATAAAGAAAAAAAAATAAGAAAGTAACATACAAAGAAACAGTGACTAAATCTTACAATTTATTATTCCCTTGGGGCGTTCATATTTTGCCAGAATTCTTAATTTCAGTTATTTTATCTCGAATCTAATATTTCTTTCTTAACACATGATCAGTCTTAAAGATATGATGTAAAAAATAAACTGTTTATAGAATTATCAGAATGACCTAGTTACATATTTATCCAATTTCACAATACAAACCTGTTGATACTGTATTTATGATTATATGTGAGTGAAAAAAATGTCTGCTTTTCTAAAAACAATGCACCAGTTGAAGATAGTCACATAATATTGAGACAACAATATCAACTTTTACGGTACGACTTTTATATATCATCGTGATAAACCAATATTAATATTTTCCCATATACACGAGGGATAACACAAAAACATTACACAGTGCATTCTGTGGTAAATTCACGGTGTTTTATTTCACCGCATCTAACCGCAATGATCGTTAATAATAATAACATGGTGGTGAAATGGCAACTGCGCCAGGCACTGACGTGTTGTATGACAACAAAGAACGATATACTTATATGTGATATATGGTCCGATACGGCCCGTATCGTACATTAACAGTACATATAAAATACGACATTTACGACGATACAGTTGCGTGTGGCTGTGGTGATGTATGGTGCTTAAAAGATGACACGAATACTGAGAAAAACTGAGAAAAACGCGACGTAAATACGGCGTTTTTACCTGTGTTTTGCCGTCAGCGTTCGCCATGCCGCGCTGCGTCGACGTACGGTGACGTAAGGGTCACGTGACCTGACGCAACCGTACGTATACGTGCGTGCGTGCGTGACTAGTATTCTAAATTAGTATGCCGTCGTTTGCAAAATAAATAGTAGAATGTGTCGTCTGACTCAAGAAATGGTGGGTCGCCTGTATTGTGCAGTGTTTCCAGGCTTCTGGAAAATGAACTTTTGAACTGTAAACATGCACAGTAAACATGTAAACATACTTCCGTAAATAACTAGGCATTGTTTTGAAAGCTTATATTGGAAAACAAGGATCTTACAACACAGGTAGAAGAAATTTTGACCTTTGATTATTTAGCTATATAGGAATCTCACAACTTATACTTGTGTACCAGGTAAATAAATGTCTTTTTGTTTTTGGGAATGTTATTAAGAACCTTACTTTTAGCAAACAAAAAATGTAAACATAATATTTACTCCGCACACCTACCCCACTTATGAAAAACAATAGTGAGAAAATTTAACAGCTAGCTAGGCTTCACTTGTTCACCAATATAGTATACAGCTAGACCACTGAAAACTTGTTAAATTGGTTTCAACTTGAAAATACTGCACTTGTTATTTAGTTTCGATATACATGTATGTGAAGGTCTATATATTGCGTTTTTCCCTCAATTCAGTCTTTGAAATTACTTTTAGATGTCAGAGAAAAATGTATGTGCGGTGCTATGCAAATTAGAAACATATAATTATTTTGTAGATATATTGAAAACTCTGAAATACAAACAACCTGTAAGATTTCGCGCGCTAATTTATCTGAAAGTTCATAGGTCAGCGTAGGTCTTCCTACTCTCCAAGCAGAGGTTTGGGGTTAATTTTGGCGTGTTTTTAGGCTTTTTTTTTACCGGGGTTTCTATTTTGGCACTGGAATTTTTACACATTGTGTTGATTGGTTGGTTGAAAAAAATCCATTGCAAAAAAGAAACCCCGATAAAAAAAGCCTAAAAACACGCCAAAAATAACCCCAAACATCTGCTTGGAGACTGAGTCTTACTGCGCAGACGCAGTAAATCTCGCGCCAAATTTTGGAGCGAAAAAAATGGCGGAAGGCGAAGTGAAACAGAGCACGGCAGAAAATACAGCTTACGACAGGAACGATCTGCCCGAGTTACTACCGATCTACTACAAGAGACTGTTCCCTTACGGACCGTACTACAAGTGGCTCAGCTATGGAGGAGGTAGGCGGTGAAATTCTGACAGAAAAGAAGTGTGTTTTGACGGATTGGTTTGGGGGAGGGGGGCGAAAAATATAATACTTCGTAAACTGTCGCGTCGGGGATAGAAATTTTATGGTTAACATGATCTATATGACAGTTATGGACATGTTACTGTTGCACAACAGCGATAATGATCGTTGCACGTGACTCTAAGATTTCCTGAATTATGCAATGGTATGCAACCCTATGAAAAATAATTCTTTTTATCTGCACCACTCCACATATGGATAGTTACAACAAAAAGCTGTTCAAAAGCCATTGCCACTATTTCTTTTACACTTCATAGGTGGCAACATTCAATACAGGTAATGAAAATCCACACTCACCAACTGTTAAAAATATATATACCCAGTACATGGACCAGTGCAGGTTAGATGTAGGTAGACATCAAAAATACCTGCTCAGCTCCAAATATTATTCTACCTAGGCCTAGGAAAAAAATGTTGTGTTTCCCGACCGACCCCACAAAAAGCTGCTGACCCTAGACTTTTTTGGGGGGTGGATCCCTGCAAGGGACATAAATTTTTCGAGCTGATCAACCATGCTGTAGAATTGGTTTTATGAACATTGACATTATAAAAGTGTCCTCATGCAAGTTTTACTTTGTGAAACTGTATTGTATAAATTGGGCCACTATATAGATATCACTGAAGTCTAAAAAAAAGAAGAAAAAAGATTATCCATACCTACTGACCCTAATTCTTTCAGGACTGAAACAGGAAACACAATTTTTTTCCTAGGCCCTAAACTAACCTGCATATACCCAGTATATGGCCCAGGTAAGCTAGTAAGCTACAGGTATACATAAAAAAATACCTGCACAGCTCCAATTTTACCGGCACTATATAGGCAGTATTTCGAGCCCAGACGCTAGTGACAATACTCTCAACTTCCCTCCACAGTGGAAAAGTCGTATTTCCAAAACCGCGAGTTCTCCTTTACGCTGAAGGACGACATCTACATCCGCTACCAGTCCTTCTCCGACCAATCAGAGATGGAGAAGGAGATCCAGAGAGTCATGCCGTACAAGATCGACATCGGAGCCGTCTTCTCACACAAGGTATGGATGCACAAACAAACAAACAAACAAACATACAAGATTTGTACCGTATTAGCTTTGCATATTTTAGTTTTATGGTTTTATGGCTTTTCATGTTTGCTGTTTCTTCTTCTCCAAACCAATAATGTCAATGACCTGAACCAGACGTCTATCACCATGGTAACTGATGTTGGGTTACATCATGTTGCAATTTTATAGCAGGAGAGATTCTTGTCACCATATATGTGAATGTGTTTGAGTAAGAATTAACAGAGCAGACCATATGCGAAGGTAAACATTATGCATTTGCTTTGTGAATGTTACCTTTCTAATTTGGGATTTGTCTCTATTTACTCATTCTCCAACAGTTTGATAAGGTTTTAAGTCATTATGTTCAAATTGTTCTGAACTATGATTACCAAATAGATTCAAATCATATTTTCATACTTTGTATGTATTTTGTTTTCATCTATTTTTGATGCATGTCTGCTTATGTTTTTTGTTTTTTGTCTTTCTTAGAAAATTAAATAAAAAGAACATGAAAAAAAGTTTGATATTTATGATAAAGTAAAAATGTCATCTTTTTGATCTTGTATGAAGGAATAGATGCAAAATTAGGAATTAGGAAAAATACACAATAAATATATGTGAATAAAAAAAATTAGGAATTTGAAACCTTTACATGTCCTTGTAGCATAACAGTTAATACAACTGTGAACTTCTTATCATACATAAATACATGGTTATGTTTTCAATTCGACTTTAAGTCATGAAACAACCTATCTTTCCATTTCACCAGCCAAAGGACCACAAAACGGTGAAGCCAGGAGCCTTCCAGGCACAGGAGAAAGAACTGGTGTTTGATATCGACATGACAGATTATGATGATGTCAGGAACTGTTGCTCGTAAGTTCTGAACTTCACATTACTTATCAAAATGTATTTCTTTCAAAAAGGATTGTTTGCAGTGAAATGTGATACTGTTTATATAGAGCTGAATTAGCTTGTTGTCAACATTTCAACTAAACTATTTTCGCTAAAGGACGGTTGTCACAATTAATAGATGGCTAGAAATACACATAAGTTATCATCTACTATTAGCATGAAAGTTCATCTGAGTTGGTAAAATACATGACAAAAATTTAGCTCTTCTCCAACTCAATAACGAAGTTATCATCTACTTGTTTTGTTGAATAATATCATATGATTTATGTATCAGGCACTACTTTGTACTTGATATGATTCATGACTAGTAATCAAGCCTGAATCACTTTAACATTTATCAATAATAATAATAATAATAATAAAAATAATATTCTTCCTTTTTCATACCAACATTGCAGAAATACAAAATAGAACTATAATGTTGCCTGAATGGCATTGGTATTTACATCATTACATTAAAATAAACACATAACATTATTACATGTTTTACATACTTTTAACAAGTTTAATTTTGATAATTGTCATAACTTTTAGATCTTAACATTATTTGCTTGTTTGTTTGTTTGTTTGTTTTGTATAGGGGAGCAAACATCTGTGAAAATTGCTGGCCTCTGATGGTTATAGCAATCAAGATTGTGGATAGAGCACTCAGAGGTCTGTACTTCATTTGTGTTATTGTAGCATTCTCTCTGCTGCCTTTCTACTACATGACCATTGATTGGTAGCATAATGGCTACTTCAGTGAACTAAAGGATAAGAGAATCTAAATGGAATATTGCAATGTGTAATTGGTAAATTTTAAGCTATGAAAGGAAATCAACTCTTTTGCTAGACCTGTGTTAAAGCATAGTACAATTTTTATGTTTACCTTTGCAGAAGGAAAACATAGTGTTTTTGCTCAGTTTCTTCTTCCTCTTCTTCTTCGTCTCCAAACAAATAAAGTCAATGACCTGAACCAGATGTCTGTCACCATAGTAACTAGTATTGGGTTACATCATGTTGCAATTTTATAGCAGCAGGGATTTAGACTCCTGTCACCATATATAATGAATGTGTTTGAGTAAGAATTAACAAAGCAAACCATATGAGAAGGTAAACATTATGCACTTTTTTAATTCATACCCCCACAGGTGGTCCAGTGTATTTACATGGAACAGATTTCAAAATATTTGTTGTATTTTTTCAGATGATTTTGGATTTGAGCACCGTTTGTGGGTGTACTCTGGCAGGAGAGGTGTTCACTGTTGGGTGTGTGATGAGAGCACCAGAAAACTGGACCAGACAGCCAGGACAGCCATCGCGGAGTATCTCAGTGTGGTCAAGGTCAGTAGGACATATTGGCCTTGTGGTTAGGGTTTGGGAATCTAGAGGTCCTGGGTTCGAATCCCAAACAGATCCCCATGTTGTACTACAGGAAAGGCACTTAACAGAAATTTCTTCAGAGGACTAAAGGAGAGTACCTCACCTTGGTACTTGGATGGGACATAAGTGTGGATGTCCTGTATTTTACCACTTATGCAATTCTAGATATGTTGTGATGTGCAAACCTTTCTACTAATATAGCATGCTGTAGTAACTGTCATTCTCACAATGATCAACAGGGGGCATTGCAACACTGTCCTGTCACAATAGTTTTATAGTCATAGAATCTTTAAAATCCATTCCTAAATCTATTACAAAACTCAAGCACTTGCTTCAAGGCCTATCTATGCAACAAAAAGGCGTTTTTCTGTTGTCAAGATATATGTATGCCATCAATTGTGAATCTTGCTTTTTTGTTAATATTTAAAATGTGTTTTATGATTATTATGTTTACCAAAGGAAAACATATTGTTTTTGCTCTGTTTCCTGTTCTTCTCCAAACCAATAAGGTCAATGACCTAAACCAGATGTCTGTCACCATGGTAACTGGTGTTGGGTTACATAATGTTGCAATTTTATAGTAGAAGGGATTTAGACTCCTGTCTGACCATACATGATTGTATTTGAGTTAGAATCAACAAAGCAGACCATATGTGAAGGTGAACATTATGCATTTACTTTGCAAATGTTACTTTTCTAGTGTTAATACTTTAAATGTGTTTTATGATTATCATGTTTACCGAAGGAAAACATATTGTTTTTACTCAGTTTCTTCCTCTTCTGTTCCAAACACTAACCTTTGACCTGGCCAATGACATGACGTCTGTCACCATGGTGACTGGTGTTGGGTTACATAATGTTGCAATTTCATGGTCTGCTCTACTCCTGTCACCATATACATTTGTACTCGTAGTACATGTATGTGAATGTTTTAAAGTAAAAATTAACAGGGCAGACCATGTCCGAAGGTAAACATTATGTACTTGCTTTGCAAATGTTACTTCCCTAGTTTAAACGGTATCCTCTTCTGTTGACCCCAGGGTGGTGAATCACAGATTAAAAAGGTGACCATGCGTGATCCGATGCACCCGTCCCTGAAGGCAGCGTTTGAGATCATGAGTAAACACATGAAACACTACCTGTTTGAACAACAGGACATCCTGGGGACTGAAGACAGGCTGAAGAAAGTTCTGAGGCTCTTCCCTGAACAAGATATCCTTCTTAGAACTCAAAACAACACTCGACAAACCTTTATGAGTAAAGGGACTCTTTTTACACAACCAAGTGTTTTATTCACAGCCGACGTTTCAGACCACAATTGTGTATATATCCAACTCCGTACATCTGGAACCGCATTGTAGATAAAGTTCCCTGTAACCACACATACATGTAGATATTGTACGATTGGGAATGCATCTATAGCATCGACACCTGTGCTGCTGTGCAATGTGAACCAGTCAGAATTGCCCTGAGGAAGGTGACAGACAGTCACCGAAACGTCAACTGTGAATAAAACACTTTGTTGTGTAAAAACTAAAAAAAAAAAAAAACAATAAAAAAGATTATCTTTATTAGTAACTTACATGTACCAACCTGATGAAACTATTCACAGATGTTTACCTTTATTTGTATGGACTAGGGTTTGACGTAGTTTTGGTGCTTCGATTGTGATGATATTCAGTACGTGGGAAGATGTATATAGTTTAATGTTGCCCCCTAGCAGCTTTCCTTGTTACCGCAAGGGAACATTTTGTATCTCATGTTTATTGTTGTCAGATATAGTCCTATCTCAGTAACAATTCAGACACAAGTAAAAAGAACTTTTTGTAAATTTTTCTTTTTCAAGTTTTGTTAGTGAAGGTTGTTGAACTCCTTAACTTCATGCAAGTCTAAGAGAGATCCTTAAAGAAGATGCTGACAAAGGGGGAGACTCGAAAGACATCTGGGAGAGATGGCTCAAGACGGTGAAATCTGAGAAGGAAAGGGTAAGAATGTGAACACTGCCAACTAATATAAGTACTCATGAAGAGATACAGCTACAAAAAGCCATTTGATTGGTCCATACAAATCACATTACACATAAACGGTGGAAGCTAGCCATTTGATTGGTTATTGCTAAACACCTAACATAAAAAGATAAAGAGTTCAAGATAAAGAGTTTAAACTAGCCATTTGATTGGTCAATGCTAACCACATACATGTACAATGTGTAACGCATAGAGAGTTGGAACTAGCCATTTGATTGGTCAGTGCTAACCACATCACACATAAAGAGTTAAAACTAGCCATTTGATTGGTCAGTGCTAACCACATCAAACATAAAGAGTTTAAACTAGCCATTTGATTGGTCAACACTAACCACATCATACTTAAAAAGTTTAACCTAGCCATTTCATTGGTCAGTGCTAATAAAGAGTTCAAACTAGCCATTTGATTGGTCAATGCTAACCACATAACACAAAATGTGTTGAAACTAGCCATTTGATTGGTCAGTGCTAACCACATCACACATAAAGAGTTCAAACTAGCCATTTGATTGGTCAACATCCTTTTTTCCCCAGGATAACATGAAGAAGAGTCCGTTCCCTCTCCATGAGGTGGTGTTCCAGTACTGCTACCCTCGTCTGGACGTTAATGTTAGCAAAGGTGTCAACCATCTGCTGAAGAGTCCCTTCTGTATTCATCCCAAAACAGGTGAGGTCTTATACTCAAAACTAGTGAAGGAGGTACTGTTTTCAGTGGCTGTATGTATGTATGTGTATGGACAAGGTTTTGACATATTTGCCATGCTATGATTGTAATGATATTTGCCATTTGGAATCGTGTGGCATAATGGTAGTGTGTTCGACTCAGACCCAAGAGGTCCCGGGTTTGAATTCTGCCTGATGCCACCGATCTTGTGCCCTTGGGAAAGGCACTTTACACGACTTTCCTCACTTCACTCAGGTGTAAATGAGTACATAGCTTCGGTTAGGGACGTCCCTCAAATAGGACGTTAAATGGAGGTCCCGTGTTTGGGAGAACCACACCCCACGCACGTTAAAGAACCCACCACACTTGTCGAAAAGAGTAGGGGACCTTCCCGGCGCGAAAGGTTCAAACCTTACAGTCCAGTCTTACGCAGCTTGTACTCATACAATTTGTATGGGAGTAGGTGTTGCATTTCTGAAGATGCACATAATTTGTTGACCCCCTAGTGACTTTCCTTGGCACTGCAGCAGAACTTCCAGTTTTAATACATGTATGTTAATATTTTCTTGCCTGTTTTTCAGGACGGGTGTGTGTTCCCATTGATGTGGAGGATGTCGACAACTTTGACCCATTTGCAGTACCCACAATAAGGTAAGAATGGATAAGAATAGCAGGGCTCGAATTAACAGTGTCCTTATGGCCAGTGATCACTAAAATTTAAGCTGGGACAACTAAAAAGACACTCTGGAACATTTTTGGGACAGTAGAAAAATAATCAACATCAGAATGTCAACCCTTCTTTTGTTTATCAGACGCTCTTGCTGGCTTTTGGCTCTGGAAAAGTCCCCCTCCCCTCAAAAAATTACCTGTCTACTCTGCAATTATGGTGTGCTTCGGAGTCAGAACGTGAGCAAAAAAAAAGTTGAATTCAAGTTGAAGTCATACAATACTTCCCGAAAAACAGGTTTGGACAGTTCATTTCCTCACTTCGGGACATTTGAATTTTTAGTTTAATTCTCATGTAAACCTCAAAAGTCAGACAGTTTTAGAAAGTACGCTTCTATGATTCAAGAGAAAATCTCTTTAGAAATTTTCTTAGGTAGAATGAAAGATTGTAGACTTGATTGAAAGCAAAATAATTGATTTCTTTTTTACATGTTTTACACAGCACTTTGTGCAAAGAGATAGACGAGTACAAGGAACAACCTGGGAAGGAGAATGAGGCTCAACCTGGGACCAAGAGGAAAATCCAAGGTCAGTGACCTTATGTGTAATACATTTTGATAATGATGTCATATTTGTAGTAGCTCTTCATGACTTGTTTTAGACCAAATTCTGTATAAAATTCCATACAAAAATTTGAAGATCCAAGACAGAAACATTATGCATATAAGAAAAGATATGTGAACATTGTTAAAACAGATGTGTTATGAATTTTTGTGATTTGAATTTTTTCTAGACTATCAGAAGACAAGCCTGAAGAAAAGTGTGGAGACCTTCAACAAATTTGTTAAGGGACTGTCCGGCACATGGAAGGGCAAAATGATTGAAAACAGCGGTAAGTCACAAATTTTACCTTTGTCAAACGTAAAGCCACAGCAAGTAATTTTTATGGATGACGTCAGCGCGTGCATTAATTTTCGTCTGATTTTGGGGGGGGGGGAACAGAAATTTTTTTGCCCTCTGAAAGTGGTCAACATGCTGAAAATGGGCAAAGATGTCTGTTGCCATGCCGGAAGGTGGATGGCAGATAGCTATGAAGAGAGGAGACAAGAAAAGGCTCTGATTTAATGTTTTGTCTTTTACTTTAATGCAGTGATGTGTGATGTTCCATCATTTTTATGTGTGATGTTCCATCATTTCTTGTTTTACAAGGTTTTATGATTTCAAAATTTGACAATGTAGGAATCTTGTTTTTTTGGCCTGTCTTGTTTTACTGTTTTCTACTTAAAGGTATATTTAGAGTAATGTTTTAGGCTAGAATAGTTGTGTGGTTAATACAATGTTTGATTTGAATGTTCTGAAAATCTAACTGCCATTTTTATCCATTTCAGATCAAAAAGGAGACTTCTGAGGATATGTTTTTGGCGATGCCACAGGGGTATTCTTTTTTCCCACCTTTGTCTTCTGTACTTACCTTGCTCACAACCTTGTAAACAAAAGCGAAATGCCACATGTCAAGTACCTGTAGTGCCTTTATTAAATATATATAATACTTTACAGCACAGCATGCTTGATACATCTGTATATACAAACACTGATATATTTTCCAAACCTTATATTATGATTATACTTTATATCTAACAACAGTATGATAAAATCATACATGCTTTGTATACCTATGTGATTTCAATATATAACATTCGCAGTGGATCTATGGTTCGCATTTGTCAGTAGAAATCTTAAGTGGTTTTGAGGGGGGTATTTAGTGGGGGGAACTATACATGCCTCAATACATTGGTACTGCCAAGCCTACCCTCTTTGCTTTGCATTGACATATGCATGGACAGAATACACTAATACCGGTAGTATTGTTTTTTAATAGTGCTAGCCTAATGCAAAAGGGGGTGTCTGAAAATATCAACTCCCCCTGCAGAATTACAATGACAGCTTCATAAAAAGCACACGTAAAAGCAGTAATTACACGAAATGGTTTGCAAATTACACGAAATGGTTTGCACCAAAACCATGTGATTGTCTTGTGAAAACGCATCTGCCTTAAAAGCTCTTATGTACAAATTTACACCAGCAATTTCATTATTGCCCTTTACTAACATGGTTGTTGTAACTGGTAAATTACAGTTTTACATTTATGTGGTAATGTTTTTATTAGTGCAAAGTACTTTTTCCATTTCGTTTCATTTAACTAATGGCAAGTCCTATCAAAGGGGAAAACAGGGATACTGGCAAAGTGCATTTGCTCATTAATGGTGTTATACCAGAAGGTCATTTCAAAATAATCACTAAGTATCTAATAGTATCTGTATACCCTGTGTTAACACCCTTTGGTGCATAACACTTGGCAGGGAATTTGAACTGACAGAACTACAGTGGAAGTAATGTCTTGCACATAATAGAGACTCATTGTAAAGCTTTGATTACACAAATTATATGTTCTATTGGACACCTGCATGATACACTGCTGATTTGAAAAGTATGGTTGACCAATGAGTGTGTGTTGTTCTGGTCACATGTTTGTCACTGACCAATGAGGTACGATGAGCTTGAAATGCATAATTAACTCATTCTATTGTCCAACTGCATGGTCCATTTCCAGCTGATTTTCAAAATAAGGTTGACCAATGAGAGTGAATCCTGCTAGTCACGTGATTTTCTCTGACCAATGAGGTGGATGTCAGACGAAGTGAACCTTTTCTTCTTCCTCCTCCATTGTTGTCACTTCGCATGATTTTACCGCCTGAAAGTGGAAGAAAATTCATTTAAATGACAGCGATTCTCATGTTATATGGCTGAATTTACCGTACATGGAATTTCTCATACAAGATACAAATAACAATTGGTATATATAGTTTAGTATCACACTGATATGCAAAAGACCAACTAAAATGCACTGCCTTAGTGTGGATAAATTTTAAAAATCCCACTTCTGACACCAGTTATAGAGCCGTTCAAACGTCTTTTTAAGAGAGTGAGTGTGGCCAAGCAACTACATGTTTTCTGGCCGCTTTGTTTCTACAACGCACTACCTACTGACTACCTAGTCCCACTTTGGTGACCAACTGACCAATAAGAAATGATTTTAGTATACAAAGACAGCTACCTTGATCAGGTTATCCAGTCCAGTGAGGTACCCGTCCTCGTGGTTCCCCAGCTCCCAGGGTACGGCATGTGAGACGCTGATGTCATCCGGTAACGCCGCGGTCTTCGCGAAGTCGATCATCCACGCGCCCGCGTTGTCTTCCACATCGTACAGCATTAGAATGGAGCTGCCTACGATCTGTAACATTTAGGCAAAAGGTACTGTTAACAAAAGCGTCTGAAATGTAGCCTGGGTACCATCCTACTTGTATACCGGGGCTCCCACAGTCGCTTCCCTAAGAAGTAGTCTGGAAATGGTTAGATCTGAACAGTCTGGCTCGGTCAGATTTTGCCCGCGTGTGCTGATTGGTCCCTCCTGTCTTGTTCATTAGCCTAACGTCCTTCTCAGTATGTGGTGATGCTTATCCCCTGCCTGCTCAGCAGGTATCACTGACCAAGGAAAGGTTTGTTTATTTATCTTGGACGGAGTGTAGTAGCCATTGAGAGACACTGTTGTCATGATTTTGCTAACATTTGAAGTAACAGAGCCACAAAGAACATCTTGCTTAAAGAAAACTACAAGAAATTGTTGTACTCAAGGTAAATTTGTGGCTGTACTTGTCAAACATAAGCAGCAACTTTTTTGCCCTTACCAAAACAGCACATGGCCATGTGGACTTTGTACTGATGGGTCATCTACTAGTGGAAGAGGCTCCGCCCAGCCCTCCACATGTGGCCTACCTCATTATGTGATATCATCACCAAGCCAAATAGATACAAGCGTTTCCAGACTACTTCTTAGGGAAGCGAGTGTGGGAGCCCCGGTATACAAGTAGGATGGTACCCAGGCTATCTGAAATGTACTTTTTAACACCAAAATGTTTGCTGAAAGGTCTATATTTGAATGAATAAAGAAAATTGTGGTCTCAACGTGTGAGGTAAAGCATATGTTAACATTGCAATGACGGTAGACAGAGTTGCATTTGGCATATAGCAATGGCGGTTAACAGGTAGGCCAGGTATGCTACTTTAGGGTACACCGTTTGCCATTCAATGATGGTTCAATGAAAATATTATTATTATTTTCTTGGAAACTCCTTCAAGCTCCTTTCAGGATCCATTGACTCTTGTATGTATGTCCTTATATATGCAAGAAAAATTGCATCCACTACTAGTATCGATATCATTATGCTATCAAATGACTCCACCCCTAAGGTGTCGCCAAAAAATAATACGCCAATCCCCTACCTCATGCCTTTTGAAGAAGTCTGACGCGGTGAATTTTTCCCTGATGACCTGAAGTCTCTCCACAGTCTTGTCTCGCGCTGCAGGGTGACCCTTGAAGAATTTTCCTAGCGTCTTCAGAACCTGCTCCCAAGTTCGCACCGTCTTAAGATCCTTGTTGGTCTTTCCTCCCGGTACCTAGAAAAGAAATCGTGGATCCTTGAAAATATATCAAAATTTACTTAAATTTTGAAGGTGAAAGAGTCGACTTTTATATAAATACAACAACATGTGGTCTTCGTAGCGAGAAATAGCAGTGGGCCAAGTATGCTACCTTAGGGTACACAGCGTTTGTTTCGCTAAGCATAATAGTGGTTCGCCTTGTACTGTACTCTGTTCTTACCTTCGAAGCCTCTACCCTGAATGAAAATGCTGATGTTGAGCTCTCCTTTTCTCTGAACTGTTGAACAAGAAAAGAAAAAAAAATTAGAATTCTGCAAAGTCAAATGGACCAACTGTATTATAAAAGAGATGCCATGGCGATCAAAATATATGCACGCAAAAATTTTACCGAGAAAACTGCGGATGGATCCAGTTGTAGGAATGTGATGTGTGTTGTTACTTACCGTCATGTATCTGACTTTGGTGATGGCTTGTTTCTGTTGTTCCTCTTTGGTGGCCGCTTCTGGGTTCACTTTTACCATTTTCTGGTACAGGTCTGGCCGTAACTTCGGGTTGATGGCCTCCTTTTCTGCAAACGTTCTAGTAAAAAAAATAGAACGGTAGTAGATGTTGATTACCTTTACAACTAAGGTTACGTTTTTGATACTGTGTGTATTTAATATGGGCATATTCGAAAAGTTATGGTTAATTCTTAATGATATGTGGTATGTGGGTAGTTGTCAGCAAAACGAAAGTCAAGTTCGACTATTGGGGCCACTATATGCAAGGGCTTTCTGGTTTGCTATATCTTTTGTTCTCGATATAGTATACTCATGATTTTTCAGTAAAAGATAGCTTTTGGGTTCGGAGAAAAAGTGGAACAGGCTTGGGTCCCCGAGAAGCTTTTCAAAATTGCGAATTCAACTGCAGGGACATCTACGAAATTATTTGAGACTTTGGAACAGAAGGCTATGAAATCACTTTGCTATAGTGTGGGAGACTATGCAGCATAACTCTGGAAGGCATCGATGTTCATGATTTTTGGCAGGCAGGTTACCATTAGAGAGACCAAGGTCAAGTTCAAAAATGGGCTTCGTGGGGGGTCCCTATGTCACTGCAGTGGACCTGTTGTGTTTATCGTTTTTACTGTCATAATTTTGTGATATCACCCACCTATTCCCAATTTTGACGTCCATGACCGCCACGTCCCCCACAAAGTGCGTCAGCAGGTTCTCCAGCTCGATGTAGTACTTGTCGTCCCTGAACACCTCCCCGTGGTACCCGGGCACGACCTCCCGGCACACGTCCCCCATCAGCCGCTCGTACACCCGCGCCTCCGTGTCCCCGTCCTTCGTTTGGAGCTTCAGGATCGTGTTCTTGGCGCCCTGGGCGAACGCACCTGTTCATAGAAAAAATAAAACGGGAAAATGAGAATTTAAAGAATGTCCTGGTGGCGCCGAAAGAAAAAACTCCACAGGCAAACAGGTGTGGAGTAGTGTACCACATCGAGTGCCAAAGTCAAGTGAGGAACTCCGAAGGGTCCGTGCAAGAAGACATATATAGGTGAGACAGAACGTACTCTGAAAACAAGATTCCTGGAACATCAACGTCCTAGTTCTGTAAACTCAGGTTTCGAAACACTTTCATATTGCATCTCCGGTATACTCAGTATCTTTAGAAGGGCTTAAAATTCTCGATTCTGAACCCGATTTCTTTGCAAGAGGAGTAAAGGAGGCGGTCTACATTAGAGCTCACAGACCTACCCAGAACAGAGACGGGGGGCGACACAAGTTATCTGGCACGTATGACACGCTACTACGGTCTAGTGGCCATTCCGTGAACAAGGTTGAAGGAGTCAGCCGAAAATTTGGGGAAAGTCCCAATTCATTACAGTGTTGTCGGAGAAAGTTGAGTATTTTATACACGGAAAAATAGTTTTTTTTAATCATTTACGAAGATTTCACGAAGTACTTTTTTTGGAGCGGGAAAGCTAACACATGCGCACTTCCTCACCTTCATGTCCCGAAAGTTGTACGAAACCTTCCTTCTTGGTGGGGTTGTTCTGATTTTCTTTGTTGTCTTCCGTGTTGTCTTTATCTTCATTCTTCTGGTTTTCCTTTAACCTCGCGTCTTGGTCCGCCGTTGCGCTTTGATGCTGTGATGAAAGTCCGTCACTACATGTCGCTGCGCTCTTGTGTGTCTCTTGTGCGTTGTTTTTGTTGTTCTCGGCGGTGACGTCATTTTCAGACGATCTGTTGTGCGGTATGACGTCATGAGGGATGTTTTCCCGCTCGCTCTGTGAGTCCCGACTCTGAACACATCCATTAGAACGATTCTCTCTGTCGATGTCGGTGGTAGTGATCAAAACGTTCAGGATATTCTGTATAAAGTTAAATAAAACCCAGAATGCACTTAGCGTTATTCCCAAAAGAATGGCGTGGATGAAACTAAAATGTGAGGAAAACTTCATGGCAAAACAACCATGTAGATGTGGTAAAAATATTCCAATAACCAAGTCGAGAGTAACACAATGAAACAAAATTATTCATCATACTAGTATTTGATTTAAGATTGCAGCAATACAATACATTTGGGACACAGGCAGCTGTTGCTGGTGTTGTGTCCCATACATAGAAACAAATACAGGACAGACAGTACTCATTTTGACTTGAGTTAAGTGAAGAAAGTCGTGTAAAGTGCCTTTCCCAAGGACACAAGATCGGTGGCATGTCAGGACTCGAACCCGGGACCTCTTGGTTCCGAGTCGAGCACTCTGCCGCTACGCCACACAACCCCACGATATTATATCATATTCACTCTACAATGCAGCACAAAACGGTATGTTATAATACTAGCTAGTCGCCATATGTGAAAAGGTGGATATCATTTCTGACAAGATAGCCACTTAAACTCACACACGTGTTCAGTGACGACTACAGAGATAGGAGATACTCCAGTCTTAAGGGCCATTTAGAAGGAACTATTAAGGACGAACCTCACGTGTACTGAGCCACGAGACATAGACCAAACCGCGTGTCAATCTTAATTAGCAGCTTAACCAATCAGAAAGCCGATACAGGTCCCCTTAGAAATTTGATCAGTATATCAGAGCTCTGATTGGCTAGGAATGAAGTGATCGGATATACCGTGGAAAAAGGTCAAGATGACCTTGCAACAGAAGCTAAGGACCATCCACGTGGTCTCTTAAGGTGTTAAGAGTCTCCCTACTTAAGTACCCTTACCAGGTGAGGATGAGAACATAAGATCTACTTGGTGGATCATAAGAGGGTCAGGTGGATATGAAATCTGACTCGATAGCTACTTCAACTCGTGCACACGTACAGTCATGTACACGTGGTATTAAGTAGGGCCTTAAACACTACGTACGGAAACTTGATGATGGCCCTTGAGGTTGTCACGTTTTTACTGTCCAAATCATACGACGGCAATGCTAAAATTATCAGTTAACCTTTAGCACATTGACTTTGGCTACCATGTCTCTACTAGTTACTTGGTTAGGCAGCAGGGAGAAAGGCAAAATGGGACTACAATTTTTTTACCCTTTCCTTCACAGCAAAATAAAGTTCATATATGGGACCATTTTGACTCAAAGCTGGTACATGTACTATATGGTGTTCGGAGTAGTTCGGGCATGGTTGGCAATCATATTTTACTCAAATTTAACTCAACTTTGATTCGATTTGTTTGGAAAGGTAGACGAGGCCTAAATCTGGTCTGACTGCTTCCAAACTCTAGTCAAACTTTGGCCGCTGGTGTTCGGAGGAAGGTTCTGAATGTGTGACGGGGGCTTATAACCTAGAAAACAGGTATACTTGGGGTATCGAAAATGAAGAAATACTTGCGGGGCTAGGTGATGGAATACACGAACGTGCCAACCTCGCGTGCAGTGAAGAATCTCACGCTGTGTATTCTATTCCTTCACCTAAGGGAGCCAAAGTAGTATAAAGGATGCACACCTTAGCAAGCAGTCCAGGAGACGGTGGCGGCGTGTCTCTGATCCGGGCGTCGTCCTCGCTCAGGCTCCGGCACATCTTGTGGCGCTTCTTCTTCCTGCCGCCAGGGGGCGTGCATGTGTAGGTCTGCAGTTGCTTGGCGCACCTGACGCTGACTTGGTTCCACTTGGTCACGGAGTTGGCTCTGTTCGTGTCTGTATCGGCTGAAATGCAACAACACAATTAGAACACATGTTATCTCTTTTATAACTAGACATCCAATGCGATTTCAGGGCAGCAAAACTGGAAATATCCTGAATAAGGCAATCTTTGTGACATTGACACATACTGATTCACATTGGCACATTTTAATCAGCATTTCATACTTTGGGCATTTAAAATTGCAGAATAGAAACAAGCCCCAAGACGAGTCTTTTATTTTCTGGGTGGTACCCTAAAAATCAGCCCAGGGCCCTTCCAGTAACCATTTTCCGTCAGAATTTTGGGAATTTTTGCTCAACGAGGGTCAATATACATTGGGATAGTGTGGTTTCAACTCAGTATGTAGATAAATGACTAGAATATCGGGATAGTTTGAATCGGGTTTCCAAGACCTAAAAACTGCACTGGGTGCCTTTAAAACATTGCTGAACAACCTCGCCCCCTCTATATCCCTCCAATATTTTGACAGAGAATTTCACAGAAACAGCAAAAGTCATACTACCCATCGACGGCTTGTGAATATGTTCGATACAATGTTACGAATTCAAAGGCCCACAACGAATTGCAACTATATATAAATATACACGTACACGTCAACCATCTTCCACGAAAAAATTATATGCATGATAATTTATATTGATGAGAAATTCCTTCCTCGAAGTATCACAAAAATAACCTGTTGTTTGTTTGTTCATTAATTTTTGATCGTGATACAAATATCAGGGGTATATTAAAAATGGCGATTGAATTAAAGGTACTAAGGAACACTTTATGTATAATCGCAATTTTTAAACTGTCTCTACCGACTCTTTCTATATATATACTAGTAGTTGTCAGGCCACACCGACTTAATTTTATGGATGACATCCTCTGAAGACCCCCAAACTAGTGCGCGCGGGCGAATAAAAAAAAATTCCGGCCAAAAATAAAAAAATGCTACTAAACCACAGGAATACAAAGCTGGTATTGTGAATTTGTGGCAGTACTTAGCGAGGTATACGACAAGCCGGCACATACTGGCTTTTTGCGGAATTTATGAATCGGCACTGTACGTATGTACTGAGTTCTTGAGTCGTGGAACTTCGGTAGCCTGAGTGTCATCCTCCAGAGTTGCCACCGGCTCCGTATTGTCGCTAACTACCATGGACTACCCAGGCCTAGAGCCAGGCCAGTGCCTCGGAGGACGTGATCTTTTTTTTTTCAGTACGTAAATTTTTTTTTTTTTTAGAACAGGCGAATTTTTTTTTTTTTTTTGAGAACAGGCGAAAATCAATGTGCGCGTGGATGTCATCCATAAAATTAAATCGGTTTGGCCTCACACAGGAAAAAAATCCGGTTTGACTCAGACTAATTTGCGTCCCAGAAATTCGATCCATTTCTCCCATGGTAACATAATAAGAAGCATGACGTCCTATGACGCAAATATCTCTTATGAAATGAATATTTTTGTTCTCAATTTATGAACAACAACCTGTGTGGCCACGTTTTTTCGGCGTATTTTTATGAATGAAAAGAACATCTTGCAAAAAGCGTCGTTTTGGTAAATCGCTTGGATATTTTTTTACTATTTTTGGACCACAGTATAAATATTTTTGTTCTCAATTTATGAACAACAACCTGTGTGGCCACGTTTTTTCGGCGTATTTTTATGAATGAAAAGAAAAACTCGCGGAAAGCGTTGTTTTGGTAAATTACTTGGATATTTTTTTACTATTTTTGGACCAGAGTATCGTATGGCGCTCGGGTTTTCAATCACAAGTTTTAAGATATCATATATTCATTGTAACAATTTTTGTAGTTCGACCCAATTTAAGATACCCTGGGTGCCAAGTTGGCACCAAAAACTGGGGGTTTGGGGGATCTTCAGGGTTTTTGGAAGCTTTTATGTGCTATTTTCTGATTGCATATAGACAACATAGCCGGCCTGGTTGAATTACCACCTTTTTTTAGAACTGGGCTGATCAGAAAACAGCCGAAGATCACCAAAAACCCAGTTCTATAAGCCTGCTACGGAGGCTAGTGTACGGATCGTAGAATTCAGCAAAAAGGAAATAATTGGCCGGGGGAGTTGGTACACCGTTAGGTTTTAATTTCCGTACGTGGGCAAACGATAGCCTCCTGGAGTTTTGATACTGCGTTTTGTGGAATTTTTAACGCGTTCTTTTGCCGGCCATCCTACAACCAGCCTAGCCTCCACCAGGCCTTTCTACGGGAATACGGATCGTAGAATTCGGCAAAAAAAAGAGAGTAAAATTGGCCAAGGGAGTCCGGCCGCGGGGAGGTAGTTTCTTTCCCTCCGACCTAGCCTCCACCAGGCCTTTCTACGGGAATACGGATCGTAGAATTCGGCAAAAAAAGAGAGTAGAATGGGCCAAGGGAGTCCGGCCGCGGGGAGGTAGTTTCTTTCCCTCCGAAGCGGCCCAGTCAAACCTACAAGGCGGCCAAACTCACCTGGCAAATATTCTCCTATATATAGCCTACACGGGGGGCAAATGAGGTCTAGAGCGGCCAATTCCTGATTTTTTTCACTGTTTTCACTGTCACTTCTGTACCGTGAACTTATCATTACAAATAATTCCTGGACTTTCTTTTTCCTGCACCTGTCACCACCGTGAATATATAGTTCCGTGAATATGTCCATTTTTCTCAGACCGTGAACTTTTGCTACCGTGAACATAAAGTGAATTACAGTACCCTAGCCAATTAAATTATTCTCCCTATCTGGCTAAAATTTTCCTGCTTTTGAACCCACGTTGCTTGTCTAGTAGAGACTACAAAGAACGACAGGATCACGTTTTGGTGACGTCTTCTTCCGTAACGAAGCAGTTGAATAATTGCTTGCACGTCAATTTATTGAGCTGTGTTTCCTAGGAATCACGGTTGAAAGAAAATCGAATTTCCTGACTACAAAATGATACGCGTCACTTCACTCTATATGTCGTATACGGATATCACAGGATTTTGAGTTATAGTCGACAATCTGTCAGTCTATGTATTCGTGCGAAAGTAGCTCAATAAAGATTTTTTTTAGCCCATTTTAGACTAAAAGTCCACATGTATAGTGACACATATCCATAGTTCGCATGGTTATTTTCATTTCTGAACTCCAAAAATGTCTTTTTTACAACTGCTTGGATAAAGTAGACATTCTGTCAGTCTACACGTGCAGTCTATGTATTCGTGCGAAAAAAAGTGGCTGAATAAAGATTTTTTTAGGATCATTTTGGGTTATTGTTGGAGACTAAAAATTCACATGTTTAGTGACACATATCTATAGTTTGCATGGTTATTTTCATTTCTAAACTCAAAAAAAATGTCTCTTTCGATGTATTCGTGCGAAATTTGTTCAATAAAGAATTTTTTAGCCCATTTTGGGTTATTGTTTGAGACTAAAAGGCCACATGACTGTATATTGACACATACCTATTTCGCATGGTTATTTTTATTTCAAAAATGTCTTTTTTACAACTGCTAGGGTAAGGTACGATGGCTAGAGTAGTCCCCAATACTCTCCAAGCAGAGGTTGTGGGGGAATGATCGTTAGCTTTTTATATATGGCCGTTTTTTGTCGCCGGCGACCTTCTCTGGCTAATGGATACTGCCTGGCCAATTTGATACTGTCTTTTTGCCACCGAAAGGGATCTGCTTGGAGATTAGTCACCAGGGTCTGAATACGTGGTGTATTCCTTATAGATTTTGGTAAGAAAAACGGAAGTTGGCACAGATTTTATGACCAAAAACAGAAGCAGAAGCAGAAATAAGCATGTAACCTATAGATGTGTGTGTTATTTTTTATAAGCCTCTTGCAGTAACAGGGATAAGTTTTATTTTCAATCGATTTCAGAAACGAGGAGAAGTCGAATTTACGTAATTAGACTATAGCACTGGTCCATGTATGCATGTATGCACATATACAAGCGATTTCTGTACAATAAAGGTCTTCATTCATTCATTCAACACATATCGTACATGTACCTGTAAGAACGTACGTTTTCATTCATACTATACGACCGTGTACATGTAATTTGATCAGTCCTAAATGTACGTCTACGATATTCTACAAGACCTAACGCTTAGCTTACTCTAAACAAAATATTCTTGTTTGTCTCGACACTCAAGTTGCTATTTGAAGTCAACATAGATGTTTAGTTCGAAAATAAACACGTCAACATGACCAGTTTGCCCACTGAAGTTGACGCTAAATTTAGAAAGGCACCAGCTAGCATTTGAACCAAACACATATAGATACAATGCAATCTTCTAGTTTTAGAGTAAAAAAATGTTCAAGATATATACCTAGACTTCTTGTGGCAAGATAGGAAAATTTTGAATTTCAGATACATGAAAAAAATCGTCTGTGACCTAGAAAAATAACTGAAACCTGACCCAAATTTCTTGAAACGCAATCTTGTCGTTTACGTTCTAGCTTCCAATTCTACCCGCATACGTTGAAATTTTAACTGTTTTTACTGAATACAATGTGCGATTTGGCCACAACTGACCGAAAAATATTAAATGTGTAGATCTAGAACGTAAAAAAAAAAACTTACCAGTTGGAGAGGGGCTGAGGCCGTCTTCTTTGCCGGCTTGTTGGCCCATTTTGCTCCGAGAAACAGTCGCTCAACGCTACCCTGGGAACGTGAATCCTCTCAGAACCTTCTCCTCTCGTACACTGAATCAGACGACAGAATCCCGCTCAAATATTCCCTCAGATTTTACGTTACGGTTCGTTAAACGCCGAAGTTGAGAGTGTGAGGTACGGTGGAAGTGATCAGCGGTTTTTATTATGCCTGTTGATCAGGAGAAAAACACTTTTGCGAGTGAGAACGACCCCCATTCACTTGACGTGATGACACACGTCATTCGAGCTCACGTTGTCGTCTGAAAAATACGCCGGGGACGGTTCAGTAACAATCGCGGAGTGGGAGTAGCCTCCGTATAGCAGGCTTATAGAACTGGGGGTGTGGTGGCTGTTTTTTGTTTAGCCCAGTTCAAAAAACGTCGGTAATTCAACCAGGCCGGCTATGTTGACTATATGCAATCAGAAAATAGCACATAAAAGATACCAAAGACCCTGAAGACCCCCCAAACCCCCAGTTTTTGGCATGCTATGGACGCTAGAGTTGCAGGGGCAATTTTCCGTAGCATTTGACATTCATATTTGGTGTTAACGTTATATATGGATGTCGTTGTTTTCGCTATTGTTGACACAACGAACTGTTATTCCATTAAAGGTAGTGATTTTGATATTCTCCAAGCAGATGTTGGGTGGAAAAGTCGAAGTTTTCTCGTTGGTCAGGTTGTTTGACAATCCTTCACTGCATCTCTCTCCCTCTTTCTCTCTCTCCCTCTCTCTCTGTGTCCCTCTTTCTCTTTTCCTCTCTCTCCCCCTCTCTCTCCCCCCTCTCTCTCCCCCCTCTCT